TTTTTTACATATAAATTAATATTTAACTTAAAAAATTAAATAAATTTAAATATTTATTAAAATTTTAAGTTAATATTTTTTTACTTATAAGTAATTATTATAAGTTACTTTTACACTTTTAAATATTTTAAGTAATTTTTTACTTATAAGTAACTTTTTATATTTTATAACTGATTTTTTATCTTATTAGTTGTATTTTTATTTTATAAACAAACTTTTTGTATAAAAGTGATTTTTTACTTATAAGTGATTTTATAATTATAATGTATTTTAATCCAAATGTATATCTGTAAAACCCCAAGTAAAAAATCCTTGTACTATAAAGACCGTGACTGCGTTATGGCGAAATACAACGGTGTCCTAATTCTTTCAACAACAACATTTTCAATGCTTCTAACAAGTACATAACCAGTAAATACAATAGTAACAGAAACAGGCACCGTCTAACAACTTCCATCGATCATATTCCTATTGTCCACAACGAACTTCTTTTGCAGGAACCAAACCGCGGCAAATCATTAACGCACTCGAAGCCTAGTCCCATAACATCTTCACTTATAGACAGAGGATGACATGCATAGAATCTTTTTATGATATCAGCCACTGGCAGAAGACAAATTCCATTTGAAACAATAAAGCACCATGTGATTTTAGTACTCCTATGGTTAAATGAGGATGGATGATCAATAGCTACCTGTCAAGAAGCAATTGCTGCTACCTGAGCTCCCGATAACACAAGGCATGTCACGAACAAGAAACTTCACACTGTGACTGCCACCAAAATTCAAAATTTCAAGTCATTCTTGCAAATCGAAGTCATTTACCAACACCACCCATTACTCTTCATCAACAAGATACTTGAGTTGGAATTCGCCCATTTGCAGTTTGAACCTCTTTGCTACCTCTTCATAAAGATGAAAACACCCGGCAGTAGGTTCAAATTTAAACCGCGTTGTATCTTCTTTATAAGTAGCTTTCACTGTAATTTTTGAACCATTATCCCCCAGATCTTGCCTCAGTCTTTGAATGCTTCCTTTCACCAGAACTTCCTGAGCTAGATGAACTGATGCTTGTCGTTGACCCAAACCCATTGGATGAGTCCGTCATGCCCGAGGAAGTTGGTTGGATATGTTCAGTAACTGATATGATCCAGGATAGGCAATCACTTGGTCGAGTCACACGAGTCAAGGGTTCAAGCAATGGAGTTCAGATGGGTGAAGTTGACAAGTCAATGTTCAAGT